TGCCTGGCAAGCGCAAGGTCCTGAGTTCGATTTCTGGTACCAAAAAAAAAAAAAGATTTAAGCACATATGTCTGATTTATTTCCCTCAACATCAGTATTTATCTTTTTCTTTCTTCCTTAATTAGGTCCCCGATGGGCTTCCTGGAATATTGGTGTGTTTATTTGCATCAGATGTGCTGGAATTCATAGAAATCTTGGAGTTCATATATCCAGGGTCAAGTCGGTCAACCTAGACCAATGGACTCCAGAACAGATACAGGTAAACATTACTGTAACAAGAAATCATTAAGAATATTTAAAATGATTTAAAATATCTAATCCTCGGATCTGAGAGTTAATGTTGAAAAGAAGGATACTGAAATGGCATATGGCACACATAAAAATGAAATGTTACTTCATTTGTTTATTTGTAGATATTATTTTATTATTGCCTCTAAAGTCAGTTTTTACTGTACTATAGAGTATTATATTTTTATCTAAAATAGCAATTTTGAAGTAATTGAACAGTGTTCTTTCCTGTGTTGATGAAATTGCCATTTTAACTCCATAGTTTATTTTCCTGTCGGTAGAGGGAGCCTGGGTAAGGATAGGAAAATGTCAGCTCTCAGCGGGAAGCCGACCTACAGGACTCGCAGCGCAGAGCTGCTCTTTGTATTTGAATAGTGGCTGGAGGACTGTGGGCTAGTGAACGACTGTGTATTCTGACGAAGTCCAGCTTGCATAGAGCAGCGAAGCACAGGGATAACCTTGTGGTTTTAAGACTTTGCTGTTTTCTGGTGTCACAGTCGTAGGTCCTTGAAATCTTCCTATCCAGTCCTTAAGATTGGCCACATTTAAAAACAAGTACTTTTCCTGTTCATACTTTGCAATTCATAGTGAAGTTACACTACCTTTGAGTGTGCTTTCAGCTAGTATTAAGAACTAAATGCACACAGTTGTCCCTTAGTGTCCACGCAGGATGCAGCGACCCTCAAGTGCGGTCTGTGAAGTGGCATGACAGTACCTCCTGCTCCAAACACTGCGTGTTCTCTCCTTTGTAGACTTTGAATCATCTCTGCATTACTTACAGTAATGAGCACACTGTAGATGCTGTGCAAGTAGCTGTCATGTGCTTGTTTAGGGAATAACGAGAAGGAAAGATAGCAGTCCATGTCCAGTTGAGATACAGTTTTCTTTCCCTCTGATATTTTTGACCTGTAGTGGATTGAATCACAGTGCAGAACCGAGCTATGTGGAGGGCCAAGTGCATGTGGTTGAACCTCGGGGATATGAGCGCCTACTTCAGAATCAGAAAAACAAGAATTTGCATTGGTACAGTGAGGTTCACTGTTGAAGGAATACAGTAGAGATTGTCAGGTTATAAAGTCAAGCATAATTTATCAGATCTGTTTTTGAGCTTTTTGCTGGTAAGGGCATATAAGGAAATACGATCTTTTAAGTATTTTCAAGATCTTTGAGAAGAAAATATCCAAGTTATATTAGAGAAACAGAGCTTTCTGAACATTTCTTATAGCAGTATTTTTTTTGCAATATTCTTTTTTTTTTTTTTTGCAATATTCTTAATATCTCTAGCCAATGTGGTAACAGATGATGGAATGTTGTTTGTCTTTTTCAAGAAAATGTGAGATGTAGCTTGAAAATATAAGCTGATGTTTATAAGGGATTGTAGAGATTAAACAAAATTAAATGCAAAAATATGTAGCCTTTTTTTCTTTTTTTTATGTAGCCTTTTTAATAGGGCTTTTGCTTCTTTTGGTAACAGAAGTTGAACAGAATTTCCAAATCAGTGGGCTGCATTTCAGTTGTTTTTTTGTAGATAGGTAATAGGCACATGGTAAGATACTGAATTATTTCAAATGAGTGTTATTGGAAAGGATTAAGGGGCTGGGGAGATGGCTCAGTGGAATAAGTGCTTCCCTGGCAAGCGCAAGGGGCTGAGTTCAATCCCTGGTTCTGCCAAAAAAAAAAAAAAAAAAAGAAAGAAAAAAAAAAGAAAAAAGAATGAAGTACTTTGCCCTATTTAAAATTATATTTGATTAGGTTACTGGAAATGAGAATTATTATTTTGGAATCCAAGACTTTCTGATGAGTACTTCTCTCTAGAAAGTGCTCTGCCCAGCTCCATAGTCCACAGAGCTCTTTCTCAGAGTGCCGGGGTAAGAAAGCAGGTTAGGATAGCCTTAGAAATCAGTCGTTAGACAACAGAGTTTTACTTCTAAAAAAAAAAAAAAATCACATAGATAGACCACAGTATTTAAAGTTGTTATTTAAACATTTTCCTGAGATTATGAGATATAGGTAATAACAGTGGAAAACCCAAATTTCCAAACAAAGGGGCACAGTTTTTATTTCAGCCAGGGGTGCTTGAGGCTAGCTGATTGTGGATAGGCAGTAGGACGAAGTGATAACAAAGGTCCCCTCCAGTGTCAGACCTGTGTGACCTCCACAGGGTGTTGGATTGCAGGGCACCTCGGCTTCATTTATAAAATAAAAGTAGTAGTAGCACCCGTCTTGTAGGTTCCTGGGGAATCAGACAAATTAATATAGGGGAAGCCTACATTAGCCTATATGGAGACAGTACATGGGACATTTGAAGGATTCAGTAAGTGTTAACTCCTCTGTTAGTAGCAGTGTTAGTAAAATGCCTGCAAGCAGGTGCAGGGGTCCCAAGGTGTGCCATGCTGGCCTCGCCCCCGGGGTGCGCTGAGACCCAATTGAGACTGGGTGTGGTGACACATACCTGTAATCCCAGCTCTTGGGAGGCTGTAAACAGGTGGATCACTACGAGTCTGATCTAGTAGTGAGACCCTGAACCCCCTGTAGACCCTTCCCTAAAATATAAAAAAACAAAACAAAACAAAACAACACAAAAACAGTATTAGGCCATTTGTTCATTGCACAATGCCCTGAGTATTGCTGCCTTGAATATATTCCAGATATTAAGCAATTAGCTGGTTAGTAATCTGCTGTAATAAATTGGTTTGAATACTTGGTTTAGTTGTTAGGAGGCAATTTAGCTTCCTGGTAATCTGTTGTTTTAATTGGTTTGACTGCTTAGTTTTGGTTCTCTTTAATCTCTGAATTTAATCTCTATATTTAATTTATTCTCTAATTTAATCTCAACATAGACAAGCTATTAAATAAAATTTGTGTGTGTGCACACGTGATTTTTGTGAAATATTACTATTTGCATAGTTTTGGCTTAGGGCTACTCATCAACTGAGAGATACTCTGTTTTTAATCAGTTGTTTGTATTATGTGTGTTTTTTAGTTTTTAGGGCTTCTGTATTCAGTGATATTTTAGAATTATTATACTGCTTATTTTTAAAAGATGATGATTAGCTGGTTCTGGTGGCACCTGCCTGTGATCCCAGAGGAATCAGGGAGATCACAAGTTCAAGCCCAGCCTGGCTGAGGTTCCAGCTCAGGTAGAAGACGCCTGGGTGCAGTCCTCAGTACTGTGTATGGAAGATATGTGTGTGCGTGTGTGCATGCGTGCGTGCATGCGTGCGTGCATGTGTAGTCCTCCCAAAACTTTTTTGATTTTTATTAGCACAGAAATAGAGTTATTTGCTTTTTTTTTTTGCCGGCTCAGCCTACCCTGAGAGTGGGGTTGGCACAGCATGTGGTGCTGGGGATGAAACCATGGTCCCCTGCACCTGCCTAAGCTTGCCTAAGCAGTACTTTAGACTGCTGAGCTGGCTCTATTCAAAAATTTTATTTTAAATTTAGAATATTTTTAATGTGGTTCATGGTCAGGTTAACTATCTCTGATCTTGGGTTTATGTTTAGTTACTTCTTAAGTTTTTGGAAAGACTTAAATTTTTTATACTTTTGCAAATATTACAGATTTTGACTTATTTTATAATGGTTAATTAATCCAAGTCTTGATGCATATTTTCCCTTTTAAGAATTCTTGCTCACTTTAATATAAAAGTACTAATTACAAATACTGTAAATGTCTGTAGTTAAAGCTGATTAAAAGTAAAGACTACTAACCAAGTGTGGTAGCATGCATCTGTAGCCCCAGGGTGCACGCATGTGATTGTGTGATTCTGTCTTTCCAATAGTGACTTTTAGTAAAAAAGTGACTTGAGTCTTTTTTCAGATTGTCTGCTAGAGACATTTGCTCTTCATTGATTTGTCCTTCTTAAGAAATATTGACATCTTTTCCATGAAGTAATTGGTATTTTTCCCTAACATCCATTTTAATTGTGTGCTTTGTGAAGCCAGAGTTAGCTAGGGAGGTTATTTTATGGCATTGGAATCTCAATGTGTTTTTACATTTTTTATTTATTTTGTATGTTCGTTAAATAATTAGGAATTTTGTTGCTTTATGAAAAACAAAGCTGGCTGTTACTGAGATGAGAGAAGAGAAAGAATACTTATGACAAAGCATGGCTGTTTTCTCCCAGATGAGTTAGAGTATAATAAGGATAGACTATCAGAATTAATTGTTGCTCTATTGCAATATTAGTGAAGCTGTGTTTCACATGGAGATGGAAAGTAAGGATTTAGGCAGTTGTTGTGGTGTTTCAATATGTGGGATCCTGCCTTAGTGATAATTCCTAACGTGTAGTATTTGTAAGTGTTATGATTTGTAGGTATTGGTCTTGCAACTTGATAAATCTAATATGAGAGCAGTACTCTGGTCTTCTAGCCTGACTTGCTTGCTTGCTTGCTTGCTTGCTTGCTTGCTTTCTTTCTTTCTTTCTTTCTTTCTTTCTTTCTTTCTTTCTTTTTTTTTTTTTTTTTTGATGGAACCAGGGATTGAACTCAGGCCCTTGCACTTGCCAGGGAAGTGCTTATTCCACTGAGCCATCTCCCCGGCCCCTTGCTTTCTTAATTGATGTCATCATTCCAGTTAATCTTGAAGTGTGGTGATATCCTGGCCTTGTCCTTCCCACTCCCCGCTGTGACTTTGAATCCTATCAGTTTTTTATGTTTTGTTACTTTTGCCACTTTCCCTTCACATTTCTCATATATGTCCAAGGTCTTAGTTCTTTTCCCTGTTACCTCTTTATCTATTTACATAAACACTTCTTTGTTCATTTTCTCTTCTCTCAAAGACTTGCGTTGGCTGTCCTTTCAGAATTGTAAAGTCTTACTTTCCTTAAACTGCTACGGATGTTCTCTTCCTTCTGGCTTCATCCCATGCCTTTGACCTTTCTTGTGATGCCCAACAGCAGACAGTGTTGGCTGAAGTGAGGCATCGCTTCCCCTTCGGCGTTACAGTATGTTCTTGTTTTACTATTTCTT